CCTAAGGTCATGTCAATTATATGTCACATAATCATATATCCTGTAGTAACATTGACTAATTTCCATTTAAGACACACATTCAAATTCCTTATAACTTTGCAAAACTTAATTCCTTTAGGCTGACATTTTCCATACTTGGTAGCTACCTGAGGCTGTTGTTTATTTATTTATAATTATTTGTTTGAAAACAGTTTAAGTATTTTTGAGAATGAGGGCTGGGAACAGTACATTATTTTGGTTGCTTTAAGTAAAAGATGGCACGCTTCTGATCTCTATGTGCTGAAGAAGTTTAAGACCCCCAAATCACTAAATTAAATGTCAGTACAATACCACAAAATGATGCCCCCCCCCAGTATGTTTTCTTAAAACCCAGGAAGTATTGCAGAAAATTAGATTAAAAAGGCATAACATTGTCAAATGAAGCATTCTAAAGATAAATGCTACAAACACACCTCTGAGATGAGTTAGTGTTAGTCTTATTTTTCAGATACAAAGCGGAGGCTTATACAGGTAAAGCCTTATTACACTTATTTTGGAACCCTAATGTAAAACAAGTGGGATGTGATTTTTCAGGGTACATATATATGTAGGATATATATTGCTATGTACTCTGAAAAAACAAACAAACTATATATATATATATTGGGAGGGGGCATCAACATGTGCTCTACTATGGAGCTGATTAATTAGCTCCACAGTAAAGTGTCACTGTCTACACATGCACCAGTATTAGGCTGTAGTGAACTAATTAACACTGCCATAGGGTACTACTGGCCAGAACAAGGCGCGCTCATGCTGTGCTGCCATGCGTGCCTATGTGGCTGCGCACTCCACGCAGCTTAAGAGGCAATGCTGTCTACCACTTGACCCATGACACCACCACCCAGAGCCCAGGGCTGTTCAAGTTGAAGCACCCCTACCACCATTTTGAAGTGCAGGGGTGCTGATACATGAGATACTGCAGTGCTTTAATTAGAGTGGCTCTAAGATGCATTCTAATTAAAACACTGCCCTCCCCACCCCCAGAGCGCATGCAAAAGTGCCCTATGGTGCTGAGCATGGGTATGAAATTTTCTACAGAATAGAATACAGAATATAGAATTTTTTTTTCCACGTTCTTCCACTATAAAACCAAATGCCATAGGGCACCTATACACATTCCCAACACCTGCTCCAATGCATACGGATTAGAACATGTCAGAGCAGACTCAGTTGATTAGAATGCTTCAGCTGTCTTGACCTCATGTGTATTCAGTGTCCCTGTGGTTCAAAATTGCAACGAGGGTGGTTTAACTACAGCTTGTCGAATGAGCTTTACTTGAAGTACCCCTGCCACCATTTTGAAATGCAGAATGCTAAATACATGAGGCACTGCAGGCATTTTAATTAGAGAGGCTCCCAAAAGCTGCTCTAATTAAAATGCCCTCCTTCCCTGAAGAACATGTGTAAAGATACCCTTAATTACTGTTTGCTTAATTTTGTAGTGTTCAAAGCAAGCTGTTATCTAATAATAGTTTTGCTCTTCCTAAAAGTATTATGTTTGTAAAGTCCAATCCTATAGATCTTTCTGTGTCTACAAGCAAACACTTTGTATTCCCTAGAGAACCTGAGATGCTTCTAGATTGCTGGGATAAAGATTCCATTTTATATGCAGAAAAGCTGGATTGCCCCTTGTCTTGAAGTTGATTGTATCTTGGGACTCTGGAAAAAGTAATGGTTTCCATGGGCAAACAGAAGAGAAGAGTCAGGGAGGGGAGATGAAAGAAGCTTCTGCTAACCTGCTCATTTTCTTTTTAACACTCATCTGGTAACCATTTGAAGCTGTTAATCTTTTTGGATTTTAGAATAAGCACTTTTGGGTAGTGAAATAGCAGGCAGAAAGGGATAGGCTACTAACTCTATAGACTGTGCAAGTCGTCATATCCACTGGTTGCTTTCAGTTATGCGAGGTGGTGGCACAGAGTCAAGGAACTGTCCCCAGCTTGTGGATGGCCCTGATCCCAGTTCCTGTTACCAAGTGGAGCTCAGATGTAGGAGGAATTCAGCTTTGGTGCCTTTTTGCCCATTTTTGCATTGAGCTGGAATACTTCAGAATTAGCAAAAATGCCTTTTCAAAGTTACCACCAGAGTTTAAATGAAACCTTACCATGTACAACTAGGCTCTTTTACATCACTCTTCAAAGTACAGCTAAATAAGGCAAATATATTAATAGATGCATTATTTTGTCTTCCAGGTGTTGAAAAACTGATCCGCCATCTACACCAGCACAACATCCCCATTGCTGTTGCTACAAGCTCAGCTAGAGTGACATTTGAGATGAAAACAATGAAACACAAAGACTTCTTTACTTTATTTAATCATATTGTATTGGGAGATGACCCAGAAGTGAAGAATGGCAAGCCACAGCCTGATGTGTTTTTAGTATGTGCAAAGAGATTTCACCCACCACCTCCTCCAGAAAAGGTAAGGAGCAACTTAGCTGCAAAGCCAACAATAAATGATCTAGGCTGCATGTTAAATTTTTATTTGTTCTTCACCATGGCAAGATTTGAGATGAAGAGTTAATGCCAAATTCAAAAAAAAATTAAAAGCTTCCTCTCCTCCTCTCCCTCCTACCAAAAAAATTGTATATTATTAAAGGAGATTATTGGGAAGCATCCTGCACCTTCACTGTGTATACAGTTTTTTTTTTAATGTAAATTACATTAATTTATTGCATGTTTTAATAAAGTAACAGGAAACTTTAATACTTTCCAGTATGTAAATAAATTTAAGAGAAGATCATCTGTGCTCAAAGTTTAGAAATGATTATTTAAACATAGACCAGTTTACATTTTATATATTTGAGGCCAATATACTTCTTAAATGTCTAAACATTAATGATACATTTTTGTAAAAAAGGATATATATTTCCTTCATGCCATCTCTGCATCTTTCATGCTGAATCTATTAGCCCATAATTCTTGGTTTATAATTTCAAAACCTATCACTTTGAGAAGTATCTCAGAAACAGATAAGGTGTTTTTCTTCTCTCACAAATTTCCAACTTAAGGGTGGAAACCTGTAAGAATCATATTTGAAAGATGAAAAGATAGTAATTTAAAATAAAGCATCCATTTCTGTTTTAAATAAGTATACTTTCTCTTTAAAAATCATGCCTTCTTCATCTTCTTTCCACACTGCATGAAACATGAGGTCTGTAATGAAATTTTGAGAACTTTATTACTGAAAAAGGTGTTCTACATTTACAACAGTATTTTTTATCCAGACTTTTTAGTAGATTAAACTAGTGGTTTCAAAGGGCCATTGAGAATTGAAATTCTCTCCCAGCAAATCAGCAAATCCCAGAACAATGGAAAATACCCATAGAAGAACATAGAAATACGCTTAGATTTATTCCTGACCAGTGACTGTGCAACCTCTTCTTGAACACCTGCAGTGTTGGGAAGTCTCCAGCTTCTTTTAACAGTGAAGAAGTTTTTCCTGAAAAACCTATTTTGCTGCAACTTCCAAGTCATTGGTCTATATACTACTCTCTGCAGCAAGAAAGGAGGGGTGTTTTCCCTCTTTTTTATGGCAGCCTTTCAAGTACTTTAAGACTGCTATCATATCCCCTCTTTATGTGCCTTTTCTGCAAGTTGAACATGCCTAGCTTCTTCAACTTTTCCTCATATGATTTGTCTTCCAAGCCCTTTATCATTTTTGTCACCTGTCTCTGGACTCTCTAATTTTTCCATGTGTAAAATGTGTAGCCCAAATCTGCATACAATACTCTAGATGAGGCCTAGCTAGTACCAAGTAGAGGCACTATCACATCCTTAGCAGTAGTATCTTGCACCTACTACTGATGCATCCCACATTTGCCTTCCATGTGGCTGCTTCACATTCCAGACTCATGTTGAGTCTGTGATCTACCAAGACTCCCAGATCCTTCTCTGTAGTGCTTCCATTCATTCAGGTATCACTCATTTTGTATTTGTGTTTCTGATTATTCTTCCTCAGGTGTGCCACCTTGAATTTGTCACTATTGAACTTCACCCTGTTAGCTCTAGCCCAGCTTTCCAGTCAATCAAGATCCTTCTGAATTGTGATCCTGTTCTCCCAGTGTTGTGTCATCTGCAGATGTGCTCAAGGAACCTCTCTTCCACCATCCAAATTATTAATAAACATGTTGAATGGCCATAAAAAACATTGAACTGGAGCCAGGATGGATTTCTGTGGAATTCTGTTCGAACCCTCCTGCCATCCTGACATGGATCCATTTATAATTACCATTTACTTGTAGCTATTGAGCCAGTTGCCTATTCATTTTGTAGTAGTTTTGCCCGTCCCACATTTCTCCAGTTTGTTTATGAGAAGTTCATATGGAACTTTGTGAAATGCCTTGCTGAAATCCAAATGCAATATACCCACAGCATTCCCTTCATCCATCTAAGTAGTTACTTTATCAAAGAATGAAATTAAGTTTGTTTTACATGATTTGTTATTAGTAAATCCATGCTGAGTGCTTGTAGTTATACTTTCATCTTCCAGGTAATTAAAAATGGACTTTCCTTAGGATATGTTCTAATAGTGTCCTGGGTATTGACATGGGGGTACCCAGTTTGTAGTTCCCCAAGTCCCCTTTTTGCTATTTTAAAGAGGGTTGCTACATTGTCCCTTTTCCAGTGTTGTGGTTCATCACCCCTCTCTCACAACATCCTGACTATCATTGCCAAGGACTCAAAGATCTCATCTGCCAGTTTTCAGAGCCTTGGAATAAAGTTCACCAGGCCTTGCTGACTTGAATTCATTTGGACCCACTGAAAATTTTTTTGTGAAGACTGAGGTAAAGTAGCTGGTGAGTAGCTATACCTTCTTTGCCTCTTCTGAGTTCCCCGTGGCTGTTTAACAGTTGGCCCACAGTTTCCTTCACCTTTCTTTTCTGGCCAACATACACATACAACCTCTTCTTGTCCTTAACCTCCTTCACCAGATACAGCTCGTTCTTGATCTTTGCCTTCTTGATTTTCTCCTGGCAAGTTCTTGCTATTTCCTGGTATGCTTCCTTGGTGTATGCTTTTCATTTGCATGTATGCTTTTTTTTCTTTTTTTTTTTTTTTGCATTTAGGCATCCCAGAAGCTTCTTGTACAGCCGCATTGGTCTCTTGCCATTCTTCCATGTTGGAACATTTTTTTGTTGGGCTTCCTTTAGAATTTCCAAGCTTTCCTGGACACCTTTATCCTTCAGTCTGTCTTCCTATGCTCCATTAATTCCTTGAATCAGTTGAAATTCACCTTTCTGAAATCTAGCATCCTAGTTCAGTTGACCTCATGCTTTCCCTGTCTCAGGATCTGGAATTCTATCTTACTGTGATCACTTCCTCCCAAGTTGTCCGTCGCCTTAACAACCTCCACCAGTTCTTCTCTTTTGGTCAGGACAACATCCAGTATAGATAAAGACCACTGGAATTTGTATTGGAAGTGCGCTATGCAGTAGTTCCTTTAATTTTGAAGTTTCCCCCATGTGCTCCCCCTTGCCTCTCCTGTGGCTGATTGGCAGAGGAGCCTCAGTGGCCCCACTGCTTGCTGCTGATGGGTTTCCATCAGATGTCTAGAAATGTGAAGTTTCTCATTGGTATCATCCTATAGCTTTTGGATAATTGTTTCACCTGCTTGAACAGTGAGTGTTCACTTCCTCTTCCTGACTTGATGGCCTCACCATACATCAGTGCTATATCTTTCACCTTTTGTCTTCACCCAGATGCATTCTGATCTGCTATCTTCTTCTTGAATGAAGGAACAACTGTATGTGTTTTTTTGACATACAAGGTAACACACCACCACCTTTTGTCCCAACCCTGTTCTTCTAAAATGAAGAGTACTCTTCAGTGCTGAAATTTTAGTCATAACAGCGGTTTCACCAGGTATCTGTGATACCAATTAGATCATAAGGTTTGGAGGTTTTTTCCCCCCCGCAGGCTGCGTCTTATAGCTTATTTTGTTTATTCCCCATTCTTTTCACAGTTGTACACATACATTGGATATATTTTGTATTTCAAACTATGAGCTTCCCTTTTGCACCTCTTGTTGCTGTCCTGTGACTCTGGCCATTGTTTAGCTACTTCTTCCGGTCCTTTCCCCTTTCGATTGTTTTCTCTGTTTCCAGAGGGTTTTGTTTACCATCCCCCATGGAACTTAGTTTAAAGCCCTCCATTATAGGTTGGCCCAAAGATGTTCTTTCTAGTTCTGATCAGATGGATCCCATCTCTTGATAGTATGTATTTTTCCCCAGAACATCTTCCCATTGTTGAAGAATCCAAAGCCTTCACAGTGCATCACTGTCCCAGCCATGTGTTTACTTTCATGGTATGATGGTCTCTGCCTAGTCCCTTGCCTTCCACATTGAGAAATAATGAAAAAACCACCTGTGCTCTTAGCTCCTTAACCATCCTTTCAGGAGCCTTATAGTGGCCTCTGATCTATTCAGTGAGGTTCCTGGCAATATCTTTAGTGCTTACATGGACACTGATATTTTTACTTGCACTAATTTTAGATTTATCCCCCAAACAGTGATGCCACTTCAGGCAACCTTTAAGTTTTATTGGTAAAATTGCATCCTTAATATGTTCATCACTTCTGCAAAAGGCAAGGTCAGGCTTTACTGTGAAAATACCATAAACTTAGCACAAAATGATTTGCAAATGGCCCACAATATATTTGTAGTTCTGAGCTACTGAATTTCAACAAGTTCAAAGACCGAAGTACCTAAGATACTCTATAAACCTCCATCAACTTGTGAAATAAAGAATTGTGCACCTTAATCCCTTAGATGCCTAAATATGAATTTAGGAGATTGACTTGACTCTTTTTTTTTCAATTGGTCATGTATATATTTAAAAACGTGCAATAACTTTAATGTATTGAAGTAGGTAATTTTAAAATTAGTTAAGATTTTATGATACTAAAAAAAATAATAATAAAAACAGTTTCAGGACCTGGTATAGTACAACCTAGGTATGGCCCTTCATCCATATGGACCAGATCATCAGTGGACTATATCATACAGATTATAACTTCCACGGTTCATTCACTTGCTCCTCTATCAATGTCATGTACACCATCACCTGCTTACAGTGCCCCTCTACTGTCTGCACTAGACAGACAGGGTGATCTCCGTGTGTAAAAACAAATGATCTGACATAAATGCCAGAAAGACCTGTGGCAGAAAACTGTATCCACTGTAGATATTCCCTCACTGACCTCAGACTGGCTGTTCTTAAACAACAAAACTTTAGAAACCAACCTAAATAGGAAATTGTGGAACAAAAAAATCATCTACAAGCTGGACTGTATTAAGTATGGTCTGTGTTAAGAATGGTGTAAACTAGTGGGGCCAGCCTTTAGGGCAGACACACCACAAATTAGGCCTACAACTTCAAGTGCCGCTATAATCCCCTTCCCCTGCCTGATCTGCTGCTCTG